TCCCTTCAAATCTTTTATCAGAAATATGATGGCTGTTTCCGGGGTTTTGAAGGCTTTCACGTGGGCAAAATAAGTTTGCCTTCAGACTAAGTGTTGCCATATATAAAGGGAAGTCCTTTTGTTCCTGGCTGCTCCCCTTATTGTCTCAGGGTACAAGGCTATGAGAACCTACTGGGCTCACTGTTGTATAGCCTACTTGGTGACTGAAGAGTGGAGAGAAGAAAAAGCCAAGGCTCTGGAATCAGGTCTCCTCACTGAGTTTTGCTTTTCCCACTAGAAAAGTTTTCTTTAGATGCTAAGTAGTTGTAGTTTAACGAACAAGGCATTAACCCAGTGCACTTGTATAGTTCTGCAGCAGGAAGCTTGCCACTCAGAAGAAAAGGGGGAGATCTGTGTTTGCTTTAGTGTCTTGCTTCTTTTTCAGATGCCTGTGACTGTGGGGCCATATGGACAGTCCCAGCCCAACTGTTTCGACAGAGTGAAAATGGGCTTCATGATGGGCTTTGCTGTTGGAATGGCAGCAGGGGCACTGTTTGGCACATTTTCCAGCCTCAGGTATGTTGCGGAAAAGGCGAATTTACATACTTTGTTAATAGTGTTTGGCCCTGTTACACTGAGACTGAGGAGGGGATGTGTAGACTTGGTTCATTTTTGGCAAAAAGTAGGGCAGGGTGGCACCTTAAAGACTAGCTGATGCCACCTGAGATGCTACCCCCCCCACCTTCTACCTGAGTTCAGATTAACATAGCTAACTACCTCGCTGCCTTTGGTTCCATTTTAGTAGTTAGTTTTGATTGTTGGGACTCTAAACTATGCCAAGACTTTGGGTGTTTGAGCACTGTTCCATTTATGCTACAAAATGGAACCAGGTTGGAGACAGCTCATTTGTGAATGGATTACCTTTCATGGCTGAAGTTCAATATAGACTGACTCTCAAAATATTATTCAATCCCTTTTCTGAAGGGATTTAGATAAATCCTGAAGAAAAAATATTTTTAAGAGATGAGTCAAAAATTTGAACCAGGCGAACTGCTTATGTTTGGCACTGTGAATCTGAACACAAAATAACCTCTTAGCAGTAAGGTTGAATGTGGGATCCTGCAGGGTCTTCTCTTGTCTTTACATTTTGTTTTGATTCTTTATGAATGCACTGATTTTAGGGACTACTAGTGCCACTTCTAAGGCACCACCCTGCCCTGCCTGCTGTCTGACTTTAGGCTAACACATCTAATTATTTCTCTCAACACACTCATATGTTAGACTAGAATTTAACTCAATTGCCACTTCATGGTAGTTGCTTTTATTATAACACATACAGCTGAAATTGGGGAGGGACCAGGTCCCAGCACAGGCACCAACTTGGCCACCAAAGCTGGAAGGGAAAAGGGCTCAGTAAATCTGCAGCCCCTACTAAGCCTGTGTTGAAGACTGCTCTTTATACCGCTTCCTAGATCCTCCATGGACTGCTGCAGCTCCCTTCTCATTGGGGGCTGCTAACATTGCTGTCCACTCTTTTTCCCTGTGGATGGCAGCCTGGGGGGCAGGAGGGGGGCTGGGATCTAGTGCAGGCACCATTTTGGCTACTTGAGCTGGAGGGGAAAAAACCCAGCCATCTAAAGCTCCTGCAAAGCTTGCAGGCCTCCTTAACAAGCTCCCAGGATGGATGCCACCCTGGCAGTGCTAAAGGGCATCTTTAGCAACACACTTTGGCAGCAACAGAGACTCTTTTAGTAATTCTTGTTATAATTCTATTGAATTGAATAATATGTTTGAAGATGACTGTGTTTTGGGGATAGCCATGTCCCCCTGTGAAAGGGAAAGACTTTAGGGGAGAGGAAAGGGGACTTCTATGGGTGAGAGCCAAGGAAGGAGTAGTGGGAGGGGATACGGGGAGTGTGGGAAGAACAATTCTGTTTTTAATTAAATAAATGAATTGGGAAGCAAGGTTGGGCTGGGCAGGGTGTGGATGCTCTCCTAGGTGAGAGGCAGGGGAATGGGGCTGGGATGGAATTTTTAAGATTTTTAAGTATCATTTGGGAAATTTGTTATTATAAACAATTTTATTTAAATATTTTTTCTGTTTTTTAAGTAATTTTATCTTTTATTGTTTGCTGCCCTGAGCATTTTGGGGGGAGGGTACCATATAAATCTAATAAATTATTGCAGTGCCTAGTACCTTTACTTACAGACCAGGATCTCATAATGGAGTATACAGACACAAAATTAAAACAAGTCTCTATCCCAGAAAGCTTCCAGTTGAGACAAGATACTACGTTTTCCGTATGTACATCATAATCTAAAAGGACTGATAAACTGATGAATAATTAGAGCAAAAATATATAGGCACTGAATTGTCTTTAGCTAGCAGCAGTGATATTTGGTAGTGACCACCTAAATGGGAGAAAAACGACCATATAATATGCTCTAAAAAGATTGTAAAAGAAAAAGTAAATCTGTGATGGTGGTCTTCAGATCATTGTGCATGTCATTCATATGTACTATAATAGTATGGAATGCATTAACTTGATTAAAGGGCCATAAGTTGCTGAAATACAATGAAAATTTATTGTAAAAAAAATATAAAGACCTATGGTACATTAAAAAGATACCTCCAGCACTTTTTTTTTTAAATTCCAGCATGCATACCTGTTTATATACTGTAACATTCTGTCTTTTAACCCCAAATATTGAAATAAGTAGAATGTGATAAATAAACTGAGCTAACTTATTTTCATTGTTTAACCTGAGAGAAAAGCAAATGGGAGCCAAATGTTCATCGGAACAAATTGTTAATTGGGCTTTAAAAACTGAAGATGGTGTTAGCAGTAAAGGATTTAGCTTATAATGTAATATTTAAGTCAATAGTATCCTTTTAAACCAAGTGAAATCTACTGCTTCTTGTATGAATGGCCAGACAGGATACAGATGCAAGAGTTTAGACCTTCTGCACCCACTGGCACTCCATGTATACAGAAGAGAACAAATTTTCCTGAATATAGCTGACATGTTGCAGAAATACGTCTGGTGGGTGGTAGATACAAGGGAATGTATCCATTTTCTTCTCTTACCCTATGCACCCTGTAGCCACTTGCTCCAAAACTGAAAATTTGGCTTAAAAACCTAGATGAGAATGAGTTATAATCTGCCAGTCAGAATACCAAAAGGTAGGTGGGCAAATCAGAATTGCTTTTGACTTTTTTTTAAGATGTATTATTGCCTCAGCTGTAGAATGGCTCTAATCTGTTTACGTGTACACTTTTGTTTTTTTTTTCTTTCAGGATTGGCATGAGAGGAAGAGAACTGATGGGTGGAATTGGCAAAACCATGATGCAGAGTGGTGGCACATTTGGAACATTCATGGCCATTGGCATGGGAATCCGCTGCTAACTTGGAGCTTGGGATTTTTTACCCTGAAGACTAGTGCCCTTATCCAATCATTCCTCTTGTGTAATAGAATAAAATCTTTGGGTATCTAGACTTTTGAATGCTCAGTCATAGTGAGATTATAAAGTACAAATAAGCCTTTTCCTGTACTCTGGTCTCAACTGATATTATTGCATTGTTCTCTACTGAACTTTTTATATTTTCTTTCCCT